ATATATATATATATTATATTTATATATCATGTTTGGCTACTTTTTTCCCAAATGTTTGGCAATCTGAGATTTTTATATAGATATTTTTAAATATATATATATTATACTCATATATGATGTTTGGCTACATTTTTTCCCAAGTGCTTGTCAATCTGTGAGGTTTTATATATTATATGAGATTTTCATGCTATAAATGAGATTTTTAAAGAGAGAGAGAGAGAGGAGGATTTCCTCTTTATAAACTTTGCTAACTTAATCACTGCCACTGATTTTTTTAAAAACCTTAGATGTAGAAAATACCCCCCCAATCTCCCAGCTGTGTAGTGCTAATAATAATAATTACAGCTATAAAATATAAGATAATCTGCATGTTTTTTCTCTTTGTGTGTGTGTGTATTTTTTTTTTTTGTCCTGCATTGCTTGCTTTGCTTGTATTGGTGATTATTTTTTATTTTTTTGCTTGAAGTGTTGATGTTTTGAAGAAAAACCTGGATATCAGGGTGAAGTATTCCCACTTCCCTTCTTTCTCTAGGCCTTGCTACCGGAGCAGCGAGCAGTGCATGCAGATTCCTACAGGAGGATTGGGCACCTCTGACACCTCTGCCTGCTCTTCATCCCATTCCTTTTCCATGATAAACACACAAAAAAACAGAACTGGCATAAGCTGAGAAAATTGAGGATCAAATATTTCCCCCCCCCCTCCTTTTTTTCCCTTTTTTGTCCCAAAAAAACAGCAAAAAAAAAAAAAGGTCTCCGCAGTGTTATTTTCTTATTTATTTGTCTAGAAGCTATCCTGTGAAAGCTCAGAAGCTTCCAGAAGCTTTTTTAAATTTGTTACAAACGGGTTTTATTTATGTTATTTAAATTGTGCAGTTGTTCAGTATGGGAAAGAGCCTATTTTTCTCAAATGGTACTAATTTTATATGAGATTTGAAGAAAACCTGGGGTATTTATACTGCATTTTTGTATAAGATGTATAAACTTTTTAACAGGGAAAGATGACTTTTTTTGATGTAAATGAAAAATAAAATCTTTTTTTAAGCATAATGTCTCTTGTCTTCATAGAAATCAATAATTTCCACTTCAAGAATTAACAGGTTTTAGACAAAATATTTATCTTTGATAATGAACATTGTTACATCAGGACTTCGGGGCAATATTTGTGGTGGGGTCTACTAGAGTATGGAAACTCAGCTTTTTTTTTAGAAGATGTACCTGAAAATTTAGGAAAATGAGGGATCTTCTACTGCTGTGGCCATAAAATAAAAAGGGAAAATTATTGTTTATTGGAGAAAATGATTTCGTTTTTATTTTGTCTCCAACTAGGATTTTAATAAAATTTCATTAATTTACTGGGATTTAATTTATTTATTTAATCCTAATTTAATTAAATTAGGATTTTAATACTTTAATAGTTCAGCAAAACACCTCTTTAAGGCCTGTGATTTTTCTAGTTGGAGCCATGAACCATTTCAGCTGTTTGCTTGTAAAGATCTTTTTTCTCCTATTTTTAATGACCTTAAAGCTGCTGCCTGAGCTGACTTCTCTCATTTAACATGAAATAATGTGAAGTGAGATTATTTAAGGCAAAAAAAATCCAGGGATCACAGGTACTGAGACTTCTCTAATTCTTCTTTTCCACATAATTACTCACTCAGGGCTCCTGCAACCAATGGGAAGTGGAATAGTGAATTCCAGGTTTTTGAATGCCAATAAAATTCCATTAATTCAGAAAAATATCCACTCCACCCACACTCTAAAACTGTTTTCTATGTGACTCTAATCTAAGCTTTTTAATTAAAATTAATTATTACATAACCTCATACACAGATTTTAATTTCTGATGCTACAGCAAATAAAATGTTGAGTGAGCTTCAGTCAGCCCCCCAAAGGAATAATTTTGTAGGGTTTTAGATGAAGCAGATTTTCATTTATCCTTCTCCACAGGTGGGATGGGTTTGGGTTTGAAGGTGTTTTATTTCGGGTTGCTGCTTTCTCAAACTTTATCTCTCCTCAAATGACTGCCTGGAATTTGAGTAACAAACCAGCATTAAAATAAAGTCTCAATTTTCCTGCAGTCAGTGTCAAAAGTTCCTAAATCCAAACAAGTTCTTTTGTAATTCCTGATGTTTCTTATTTATTTGGGAAAATTTCCCTCAGGTGTTGGTGTAAAGGCCTCATGACACAGAATTATGATTCTTTTAGTTACACTGTCACCTTGCTGAAGAAAAAGAAAAAAAAAAAAAAACCAGTTTAGAGTGATGAAAACTAATCTAAAAAGATGTAAAACATGAAGTTTGGACTCCTGCTTTTTTTGGTTATTACTCAATTTCAACGGATCTCTGGCATGGGAGAGTTACATTGTCAAACATGACCTTATGACTTCACTGTGTTTTTATTCTAAAACCATTAAATTGGCGTTTTGTTCCCCACATTCATCAGTAATTTGGCAGCACCAAAGAACAAGAAAAGGAAATTATCCAGCTCTGACTTCCAGATAATACAGAACATTAGAATTTTATGTAATTTTTCCTTGAGTTGGTATAATTTCAATTGTAAGTTGGCTTGGAAAACCAGTGCAATGCTGAAAGTGTCCTTTAAGTGCTGCCAGAATATTTTGCTTCTATGAAGGTTTTATTAATTTAGTTGCCTCTTAATCAGACTGAAGTGTGGAGGGCCACCTATTATCTTGAGCATAAACTGGAAAAACAAAACAGACTGCTGAATGGGAACTGATTTTTAAGTGATTTTTCACATAAATTTTGCTTTCCAGGGGGGTCACGAGCAGCTTCTAAAAATGATGGAAGAGCGGATGATGGATGTGGAGCAGAAATTAAGGCTTGTGAAGAGGCTTCTCCAAGATAAAGTAAATCAGCTGAAAGAACAAGTAAGTGTTCTTGGACTTCCTCAAACCTTCCCCCTTCCTTCTTTAAACCCCTAAGTGGGGAAAAGCTGCCATGCTGTTGTTCAGAATAAAGATAAAAGTGGTTTTATTTAATAAAACCAGACCTCAACTACAGCATAGTTGCCCAAAACTTCATAAAACTCCAAATTGAGGACTGAATCCACTACTCATTAGTTTCCTAAATCAGGAAACAAAAATCAAATTTCAGCTGAGGATGCTAACTGGAAAAGGATGCTTAGAAAAGGAGGGAAAAATAATTTCCTGAGGAGAAAATATTGATTTCTTTGAGGCCTCCTGCCCCAAATTCGTCCTGTGTTTGATGTAGTTTTGGGGTTTTTGGAAGTATCTCTGTGGGCTTGTGGTTTCTCTTGTGCACTAAATTTATCCTTGAAGGATAAATGCTGTAAAGGAGAATTCACCTAAAAACAATGGATTTGAAGCCCTCTCTTATCTACCCCATCTCCTTAAAAAAAAAACCTTTCCAGTCTCAAAACTTTCACAGCATCGCTAAAGACCCCGGGTTTTTTTAATGAGAGGAGTGGGTTTTTACTTTGATATTTGAGCTATAATTAACACACTCACCTATTTCCCACCTCCTTTGGCGTTTTAATTGGCCATTTGCTGAGTGCCCGTGTCCCATTCCCAACGCAGCTTGCCAAGAACACCAAGGCGGATGCCGTGGTCAAGGATCTCTACGTGGAGAACGCGCAGCTGCTGAAGGCTCTGGAGGCGACGGAGCAGAGGCAGAAAACTGCAGAGAGGAGAAATTATTTGCTGGAAGAGAAAATTGCCAACCTCAACAGGATAGTGAGGAACTTGGCCTCCCCCTCCTTCAGCCCAGCCCCAGAGATCAGGTCGTAGCAGAGCTGTCATGTGGCACAGCCCCGTGCACTTTACTGAAATGGGAATATTTCAGCTCCTCACTGCGTTGCCTTTTTTTTTTTTTTTTTAACTGAATGAGTTTTAGTTACAAATGCCTTCCCAGAGAGCACACAGAGCCGATTCCCAAAATGGACACTATTAAAGGAGAGTTTTGTTGGTTGTTAAACTGGGTTTCTGCTAAGTTTTGCCTAAAAATAATCATCATCATGTAAAAAAAAACACCCAAACTTATGTTTTTCTAGGTTATCTAGGTTTGGCTTTCATTTAAAATCAAAATTCTGAGTTTCCTGTACTGGACAATCTAGATTGGAGCACAGGCCTAAAGTAAACTCAGATTGTTGAACTGAAAACAATATTTTCAGCTTTCTAAAATCCTTCATGCTCCAAACCTAGAAATGCTGAGGGGTCAGTCTTCAACACTGTCAGTAGAAATGTTATTGAAGGCAAGACTTTGCTGCTATGGTCTGTGTCCTGTAAACTCATTCTGGTTTCTCTAAAGCAATTATTCATTTGGCTTCTGGGTTGTTCTTCATGGCTGTTTCTCTGCAGAGCCCAGGGAAAAAAAAAAAGGTTTATTTAAAATACAGAACTAGACTACTGCCTCCAACTAAGTGTGACAGTATTTCATCTGAAGAAATTTCCCAACTAGCAAATAAAAGACTATTATTTCCTTTTTTTTTTTTTAAGCTGTGCTGCCACACAACTCTGAATTGTAGAGGCCTTACTGGTTTTGTATATGGAAATAAGTTAAACCAAGGAAGAGTCACTCAACAGAAGCAAAGATGGGAGTTTTGTTTGTGTGATTTATAAATTCAGTAAAGCAGTGCAGTGTATTTATTAAACAGCTGGCAGAAGAATGAAGAGGGGCACTTGGATGGTTTTGTCAGTGGGATCCTGTTGTTGGAACCCTCATGAACATGGAGCTTTGCCAGGAATGCAGCATTTGTTCTGACCTGAGGAATCATTTGGAAAAGTCTTTTGTGTTAATCCTAGTGCAGAATCTAAGCCTGTCATTAGTTGTAGAGAAGCACATTCAGTGTCATTGTGAAGAACTCAGGGAGTAACAGCCTAAATCAGCTTCCTTCAGCTATAAATGTGGGTATTGAAGTCAGCAGAGGGAGATAAACACACCTTAGGGAAAGCAGGATAAACCCAATTGGATTTGGGTGAGTTATTTCCTTGCTGCTCCTCACCCAAGTTGCAGAGGAGCATCAAGGTTTGGGATGAGGGTGGTACCTCCTCTTGGGTCAGGGGAGAAATGCAAATTTTTGGGAACACCTTCAAGACAGAGGGGTTTGCCAGAGAAGCAATGATGGATGAGAGCCTGCCTGCTCAAGGGTGTGTGTGTTAACCTGCCCTGCCTCCCCCAGAGCAGCCAGGCACAAAAATTCTGGAATACTTGAAACTAGACCTCTTAAAATGCAAGAGATTGGGAGGGGCAGGAAGAGGTGTTTTGTCTCAGAGAACACTGGCAAGCTGATCATTCTGTCAGGAGCCAAAAGTCCTCCAGAAACTGGGGTAGCACTGCCTGCAAGCTGTGGAGGAGCCTCTGGAAAATGAGTTTTACTGTGTACTGATGTGGCTGAGAGGGTGTTCCCTGTGTCTCTGGGGGTACTTACCAATTTTAGAGGGTTTGTGGACTGAGCTAGGCACAGGAAGTGAACTTTTCCTCCTCCTTTTCCTCCCCCTTTTCCTCCCCCTTTTCCTCCCCCTTTTCCTCCCCCTTTTCCACCCCCTTTTCCTCCCCCTTTTCCTCCTCCTTTTCCTCCTCCATTCCTTTGTGCAGGCAACAAAGTGGAAGTGAAAATATAATAATGAAAGAACATCATGTTGGAGCCCTGATAAATTATTTCACTGCTGTGCTCTTTTAAATGCATGTAGTAGAGATTTCTCCAAGTCATCCCAAATTCAAGGATTTACAAGATTTTTCAGAGGCTGCAAAAATATTTTCACAAACTGCAAATGTCTTAAATTGATAGAAATCTAAGGGTTTAAAAAACTGAAGTAGTGATTTCTTGGTCTCTTTTATCACCAAGTGGTCTGAGTTACATGATACTAAATCTCTGTGTGGGTACCAGGGCTGTGTGTTGGCAAATTGGGAATTTAAGCACATCCTAAACCCATGCACTGGAAATTAGCAAAGTTCCAAAATATTTCCAGGAAACAAAAGAAATGAGGTTCAGAACTGTATTTGGAAAAAAAATATTACTATCTAGTACATTTTAAGACTACTTCATACTTTGACCTTGATTTACTTGTGTCTGTGACCAAAGTCTAAAAGGAAGGAATGAATATTTCACTTAAATTATTGTGCAGTTACTTTCATGTTGCTCAATTTAAAGGCTGGACTACTTAACTAATTCTTTGAATCTCCTGGTAGCTACCAGGCTTTTATAAACCAACCACAGACATTGCTAGAGCACAGCACCCAAATGGGAGAAGCAGAAATAGGGAAAATGCACTTTTGGCTTTTCTCTTTCTCCCCTATCCTACTTTGCTGTACTCCTCTTTCACTAAACTTCAAAAAAAACCCAAAAAAAACCCAACTTAACTACAGGAGAGAGGAGGAGGAGGAAAACATCCTGTTGGTAAATACCTTGAGGCAAAACTCCCATTTCAGTGGAAGATCTGTGTGGATTCATTCTCAGAAGTGCCTTTTGCCTCCCTGTGTTGTACAGGACAATTCAGGACAATCCCTTCCCAAAAGGAGGGATCAGAGAAAGGCAGAGCTCCTTCCAGACGGGTGACACGTTGCTCCTGAATTCTTTGTGTCAGCTCAGAAGAGAAGCAGCTGTTTTACAAAGTCCAGGCTACTGAAAATAAGCATAAGAAACACATAATTTATTAAGCATTTAGGGGTGTTTTGTGCATGAATGTGTCTCCTATGCAGAATAGGCAAAAACCAAAGTATTTAATGTTTTTGTTGCAGTCAAAAATCACTGAACTTTTAGGCCTTGTTCCTACAACAGGTCCTGCCATGTCAGATATGAACTACTTCATTACACAAAGTGTTTTAAATGTTTTCAGCTCTTTATGAATCACTGTGAAAATAAAGGCACATAGACATTTCAGGTTGGGGGTTTTGGAAGGGGACAGACCCCAGATTAAATAGAGGTGTACAAAATTGACACAGTTGAAGTGCTGCTTGTCAATTTAGAATGATTTAAAAGTCTACATGGTGGCACATGCTCCAAGTAGTACTTTAAATACAAGGAAAAATTGAGTTGTTTGAATTCTGGTTGAGGAAAGAAACAGGATTTTAACATATTTGGTTTTAGCCAGGTTATGTGTTACAGCAGGGGGAAGAGTCTGGATTGATCAAGAGTAAAATCTTTTTGTTTACTTCCAGCACATGCCATCCCTGTCACTCAGGTTTTCCATCATTTACCTGTCCAATCTCCTGTTTGGTGTCATTTTATGACAAACAACTTCTGTATAAAGGAAAACAAATGTATATTAATTTTTTTCTATTGAGTTTGTTTTGTTCTGGTGTAATATATTGTCCTTAGAACATCATGTAAAGCCGAGAGAGGAAGCAACTGACACATTATTTATAATAAGTATAAAAAATACATTAATGTACAATGCATACTTGTGTCTTTTTGGTTTTTATCCAGCATGAAAATAATAGAATAATTTGGGTTGGGAGGGACCTAAAGCCCATCCATTCCCACCCCTGCCATGGCAGGGACACCTTCCACTATCCCAAGGTTGTTCCAAGCCCTGTCCAAGCTGACCTTGGACACTGCCAGGGATCCAGGGACAGCCACCACCTCTCTTCCCATGGATGTTGTAAACACTTCAAATAGTATCTGCAAGTTTATCAAAGGCATGCACAATAATAAAAAGGATGGCTTGACAGCTGTGAAAAAGTAGTTTTTGCATTACAAAAGTATGACATTGAAGTGTAAAAAGCTGACAGGTAGTGAACACACCTTGGCTTCTGTTCAGCTGAAGTTGCATCCCTACTCTTCGCCTTTATATGGGAAGTATTGGGGGCTCGTTGCAAGATTTTCACACAGTCCTGGGGTGGGAAAAGCAGGAGGGGACCAGCGTGGGTCCCTGCTCCTGGTCAGGCAGGGGGACAGGGTACAGAACTGTGCCCAGTTCTGGGCTCCTCATGACAAAAAACACCGAGGGGCTGGAGGATGTCCAGGGAAGGGAACAGAGCTGGGAAGGGGCTGGAGAGTTCCTGAGGAGCTGGGAAGGGAATGGAGAGTTCCTGAGGGAGCTGGGAAGGGACTGGAGAGTTCCTGAGGGAGCTGGGAAGGGAATGGAGAGTTCCTGAGGAGCTGGGAAGGGAATGGAGAGTTCATGAGGAGCTGGGAAGGGAATGGAGAGTTCCTGAGGGAGCTGGGAAGGGAATGGAGAGTTCCTGAGGAGCTGGGAAGGGGCTGAGCCTGGAGCAAAGGAGGCTCAGGGGACTTTGTGGCTCTCACAGCTCCTGCCAGGAGGGGACAGCCGGGGGGGATTTGGGATCTGCTCCAGGAACAGGGACAGGAGAAATGGCCTCAAGTTGCTCTAGGGGAGGTTTAAATGGGATACCAGAGAAAATTTCTCCACAGAAAGCATTGTCAGGTAGCAGAAGGGGCTGCCCATCCCTGGAGGTGCCCAGGAAGGCCGGGATGTGGCACTGAGCGCTCTGGGGACAAGGTGGGCACCGGGCACGGCTTTGGACTCGCTGATCCTGGAGAGCTTTTCCAGCCTCGGCGATTCCATGATTCCATCACTGTGGGGTTCTGTCGCTCTGTCATCCCGGGGTTTCTGTCATTATTCCAGGATTTCTCTCATTCCGGGGTTTCTCTCATTCTGGGATTTCTGTTATTACTCCGGGATTTCTGTCATTATTCCAGGATTTCACTCATTCCGGTGTTTCTGTCATCCCGGGATTTCTCTCATCCCAGGATTTCTGTCATTCCGGGATGTCTGTCATTATTCCAGGATTTCTCTCACTCCGGGATTTCTGTCATCCCAGGATTTCTCTCACTCCGGGGTTTCTGTCATTATTCCAGGATTTCTGTCATTCCAGGATTTCTCTCATTCCGGGGTTTCTGTCATTCCAGGATTTCTGTCACTCCGAGATTTCTCTCATTCCGGGATTTTTGTCATTATTCCTGGATTTCTCTCATTCCAGGATTTCTCTCATCCCGGAATTTCTGTCATCCCGGGATTTCTGTTATTCTGGGATTTCTGTCATTATTCTGTGATTTCTGTCATTATTCCAGGATTTCACTCATTCCGGTGTTTCTCTCCTCCCAGGATTTCTGTCATTCCAGGATTTCTCATCCCAGGATTTCTGTCATTCCAGGATTTCTGTCATCCCAGGATTTCTCATCCCAGGATTTCTCATCCCAGGATTTCTCTCACTCCGGGCTGTCTCTCCTCCCAGGATTTCTCATCCCAGGATTTCTCTCATCCCAGGATTTCTCATCCCAGGATTTCTCTCATCCCAGGATTTCTCTCATCCCAGGATTTCTCTCATCCCAGGATTTCTCTCACTCCGGGCTGTCTCTCCTCCCAGGATTTCTCATCCCAGGATTTCTCTCCTCCCGCCCGCTCCG